CTTTAGGTTTGAGAATGCGACATAAAAAGCTTATAGCAAGGCTGGCAACTTCAGAAGCGGAACAAGAGATTAGAACAAAGAAGAAGATTTTCATGAGTCATGAAACCCGAGTTCATCAATGGCTTGGTCGGTTTCAGTATCAAGTATAAAATGATAACAACAGATGTTTCACAAGGGCATTTGTAGTGTTAATATGACCTGATATGCCACGATATTAATGTAAAAAAATAGGTTTCCAAGTCAGGATGAGTGAAGGTCAACAAAAAGATATTGTAATCAACTCACCGGTGACAACCATAAAGCAGCAGTTTGTAGATCAAAACGAGGGACATAGAGTACGGACTCGCCAAAGTCCTCTCCTAGCTTTTTATATATCTCCTTGTCAGTTTTGCCAGCCCGGACCTCATCTCGAATCAGCTGTTAAATATCACAAGAAAATTCCTTACAAATGCAAAGTACTGTTTTGGTCTTGTTTACATAATACAAAGAATGTAGACAACATCAAATATCTATTCATCAATACTTCAGTATTAAGATTAAATAAAACACTACAATTGTAAGTTCATCACATGAGAAATAAAAATTAATAGAAAGTTGATCATGGTACCGTTCCGATGAATGAGAACAGTGAACAAGATTTTAGAAAGCTAAAATGTCAGATCAAATAAGCCAGCACAGTACCTAACCAGTAATACAAAACTAAAGACATGGATGTTCTAGATAGAACAACATGGTGACAGTTGGGTAGAAACTGCAATGTTGCTGCAGTTGATGTGGCTCATTCAAATGAAAACTAGAGAGTCAAAGGAGAGAAATACAGTAGTTCCTCTGCACGTAATGGAAAAGAACGACAAAGATTTGTGGAAGATGATGAAGTCTAGCCGCATTTAACACATTTTCTCAAGAAAGAGTTAATTTATTCACAGAAAAAAAGAATAATATACTGCTGAGATTAGTGCCTCACTTAAATGAACAGATTTACACATCCTAGAGTATCCATTACTTGTTTGTTAAAATATTTATATTAATGAGAATTCTACATGAGAAAATGTTTGCTACCGAGAAGGTACAGTAGTACCATGAAGATCTTTAAATGATGAAAATTATTAGGGTGAGAACAATTAGTCTCATAGTCTCAACATAATTATAACAAATGCATAAGTCAGAATGAGTCCAACTTGTGGCTTTCTGTGACCTGGAATCCTCTTCAACATTCCATGCGAAAGCACAATACAGCCTCAAATTCCAACCCATAAATACTATAGGATACAAACTTGCTCTTCTTAGGTTATTTGCATTTCTTATAGGTGGAACTCACTAGAGTCGTTATGCCTTGGTTTTTAAGGCTTTATTTTTTTATAGTCAGCATTTTCTTATAGGTTGAACTAGCAAAAAACATTCACTTGCTTTCTCTAATCCAAAGTCATGGATGATACATCTACCTCATATATTGTTAGATAAATCACAGAGAGAAGCAGGAAATTAAGACAAGTAGTTTACCTTTCTGAGCAAAATAGCAACATCTGCTTGTGAATCTTCAATGGATTGGCTGCCACATTCAGTACATCTGACATTGTGGCTGATATTCCTCGCACGAGCCTCCACAGTTCGAGCCTTCTTCAATTCCTCATCACTCGCCATCACTGAGAAAATCACACAACCTGAGATTGCAAGATCCCCAAGCCATTACAAATTTCGCTGGCACACACCAAATCATGTAACCAATCAAGAAACAGAAGCTGATTCTCCTTGACATTTCGTCAAACATGTGGTGTGCAAGAAAGGAAAAACGCCTTACACTACCCAATGCCAATTTCAGAAAGAGAAAGCACATATGCAACCTGGTTCTCCTTGATATTTCGCCAAACAAGCCGCGTGCAAGGAAGAAAAAACACCTTACAAAAAGCATGGATGCAGCTGCAAGAAGTTCAAACACAAACCTGGTTCTCCTCGACATTTCGTCAAACAGGTTTGTGTGCAAGGAAGGAAAACACCTTACACAGTCCCAGTGAATCAATTTCAGCAACAGAAAGCACATATGCAACAAGTAAAATAACAAAACCAACCAAGGGACGTTTCGTCAAATTTCACCAACACGCACCAAATCACATAACCAATCAAGAGACAACCAAATAAAATAACGCTGCAAGAAGATTCAAAAACCTGGTTCTCCTTGACATATCGTCAAACGAGTCGTGCACAAGGAAGGGAATTCACCTTACCCAAAGGACGCATGTCACAAGTAAAATAACACTGCAAGAAGTACAAAGACAACCTGATTCTCCATGACATTTCGTCAAGCAGGTTGTATACAATGAAGGAAAAAAACTTCCAATATCAATTTCAGAAACAGAAAGCATGCATGCAAAAGTAAAAAAAGAAAAAGAAAAAGGATCAAATTTCACTAGAAGAAGAAGAATCTAAGAGGAATTACCTCTGATTTATGTAACACGCACTTGAAACGCTTCAGGTTAATGGCTACACAAGAAGTGTCCAAGAAATAGCAGGGAATTATTAATTCCAATTGACAGATTCCACGATCCCAGAACCATAACAAATAGAGCGAGCGCCAAAACCCGCCTTTTGACCCAACCGTAGGATGCAGATTAGATGACGACGAGACCGCGCCGCCGCCTCAACGCTCGCCGTATCCGCGGCTGCGATGAAACAACCCGACATATATGTATTCTTGACTACACAAAATCAAATCTAAAAGCCTCTTTACTAATAAATTTGTACATCATCAAATTTTGCTCGTATTTAATAATTTATCGTAAGATAATTCGAATCTCGTATATATATATATATATATAATAAACAAATATTTATTGTCTTCTGTCGTAAAATGTCATTTAATCCCAAATGGATATAATGTACATCCACTTGCATGCTCTCTCAAAATATGATCGATAAAATAAGATTTTAGGTTAATTATATATTATTTTCTTATAATTAGTTATCTTTAATATTTTAATTTTTATATTTTAAAAAATTATATTGAGATCGTATAATTACGAAAATGAAATATCTAGATCTATTTACTAATGACAACATTAATTTTATTAATAAAAATAAAAAAAAATAATTTTAATATTTTAATAGGTGGTGACGGATGATGGTGCCACTAGGGCTCACGAGGGACTGTTGTGGATAAGAAGAGTGGCGATGAGAGGTGAGAACTATTCTGCGTCGACATCGATGCAATTACCGAACGATGAAAAAGTCATCGATATAGATGTTGAATGGCATAGGTCTACATATATGTTGATGTTGACATAATTGTCGAGCGGCATCGTTTTACATATACATCGATGGCCTTTTTGTTGCTTGGTAATTATATCGACAACAACACAGATGCAAAGTGATAAAAGGATTGCTTGACAACTTTGTTGGCGTTGACGTAGATGTGAAAAAATCCTCACATCTTTTTGCTATTCTCCTCATCCACAACAACCATCTGCAGCTCGCAACAACACCATCATTTGTCACTACCGACGTCATTCGCAATCATCAATTGAAACGTTAAAATTATTTTTTTAATTTTTTTAATTTATGTTTCCGTCGATAAAACCAATGACCCAAGGATAAATGAATCTAATGAATCTAGATGTTTCACTTTCATAATAATTATAAGGATACTAATGTAACTTTTTAAATTATAGAAATTAGGATGTTAAAAATAATGTTCGGTAAGCATGACGAGAGAAATTATTTCTTGCATTTTATCAGACCTAATAAAAATTAACACTTTTGTTTTGACCAATGTAATGTAACACCTTAAATTATAGTTTCATATTCAACTTAATGTCATCCTTCATTTGAGACATTAAAAGGTATCTCAGAATTAAATGGATGGATCCACTTATCCCGCTTATCTCAGATTTAAATGAATGGGACCCATATCAACAACTTTAGCACATGAGAGGTACGTGAGGCGAGTCGAATTGCTTAGGAGCACAGAAGTGCAAAAGGAAACCCTTATCAATTGAATTTAATTACCACCAATGCCATCCCCACGAATCCTAGAATCGATCAATGGCTGGCTATATGGTGATTTTAACGTACACGTGGGGTTATTATTGTCAAGTGGGCGGATTTCAGAACCCATTTGTCCGCACCCCCACCCGTCGGACGTGGCCGAGCCAACGCGGCGTCGCCGCCGCCAAGACGGCGGACAGTAGTCATTTACTTGGGGCAGTAATACACGTTCGCTCGGTATGTTTTAAGAACTCGAATGTGTTCTGGTAGTGGTACTGTATGGTAGGAGTTGTGTGATTATTTCAGTTCTTGTTCATCTATATGTCATCCATTTGTTTTGCTTTGGGATGATGCTTCCCCCCCCCCCCCTTCCCAATTTGTCAAGTCATCATTAGGTCTTTCAGTTGTAGGTTCGAGTAATATGAATCTTAAAGATGATGATGTGATATGTATGTGAAGTGATAGCAATGCTGTGTGACTTTCATGTTTAATATCAAGTTCAAGTCTTTTGAGCTTCCTAATTTGCCAAATTGAGAATGAATCTTGATGTTGTCCTGTCACAGTTCATGAAATAAACCTCTCTAGCTTGGGTCAATGATTGGTGGTGGAAGATCATTTCAAGGCCTTTTGGTGGCTGTAGATTGCCTAACATATACCAATGATGTCTTGGAGACCTTAGTGGGCCAAGAATGAAAGGAAGAATATTCTGTGTTCATTGTTTGAAATGGTGTTCAACAAATCTGTTAGTGATGTTGATGATAGAATGACTGATAAATGTGCAGAAGACCTTATGCTAAGCATGGCATGAGTCTTTGTTGCTTTATCTTCTCCATCTTTAGTCATGCATGTCAAATTAGTGTGCAGAATGAGTATCCAAAAGGCAAAGAGTAGTCGATCCAAGTATCAGTAGTGTGTTTTATCTTCTCTTTAACCTAAAACAGTATCAAATGGGAGTAAAGCAAGCAAAAAATGTGAATCATAATTCATGATCAGAGTTCAAATAAAGCCACAACAAGAGACAATGAAGACTCCAACAACATGCAACACCATTACAAATGTAATTTTACAGATTATAACCCTACAGCATTCAGATTACAGCATGAAAGACAATTTGAGAGTAAAAGACTTGTGGCTTAAGTTCTTACTGAGATTACTGTAAAGAGAGTCCGATTTAGAACTCTTTTTTGAAGCAGATCAAGAGGATTCTTGAAAATATACTACAAGACTTATTCTCAAGAGCTTTATTGAATGCAAATTCTGATATTAATCGGTGCAAGAGCAAGACAAGGCAGTCTGTGGTCGTCGAGGATTTAACACCTTAAAGAAGCTAGGGAAAGTTTCCCTGATTGTCTGTGAAACATCTTCATGCTCGGTTTTGAAGCTATGCTTCATACTTGCAGAGATTATCAAACCCCATGTACTCGTGATGCTGGATCTTCTGAACCATGTTTGAAATGCCAACTCCACCTGTTTGAGAATATTAGAAGACATGCTTTTAGTGATTAGTGATAAGAAGAGAGTGCAGAGTTTAGAACAACACATTTCGGTGACCACCAGGCATTTTTTTGTTTCATCTTTTTCATATCGGAAATGAATTAGATGAAGAAGTGCAGATGTCTGCTTACCCAACGAGATCGCACTAACAAAAATGGTGAAAGCAAGGATGAAGATGATGAGCGAAGCTCTCCCAAGTATTTCAATCAGCCTCTTGACAATATGCTGCCCCACAAGGGCAGCAACTAATGCCACTGCCACAAAATACAATGCTGCCCAGATACAAAAGAATATTAGTCGAGTACACTTCAGTGCAAATGGGGGAAGCAAATGACAGGCGAACAAGATTACCATAAGGGATGGGGAAACGCTTCAAAAGATAATACTCCACAACAGACATGGATGAAGAAAATGTCATTGCAAAAGTTGCTGTGGCACTTGAGACCTGGAGAAACACTTTGAAGCTGAGTTGATCTTGAATGAGATGAGAGCATGTCAATCCAGAAAAAGTAGATTCACGTTATTATATCAATATTGATGAACCATGAGTTGTTCACTGCCCACTTCACAAATCAACAAGCATTGTCAAATTTATATCGGCGAGACATACATTTTTTGCATGCCCAATTCAACATGTATAACCTTTTTAAGACCAGAGACCTCCAGATGCTAACCTAACTTTCAATGAGTTCATGAGCCTGTTTATCCAGAAACAGTAGTTTCACAAAATCATATCGATATCAATAAATCATGAGCCTGTTTGTACATGCCCAATCTGAAAAATGTATGAACCTTCTAATCCAACAGACCTCCAAACACCGACCTATTTAACAAATGTTATCATATCAATATCAATGAGCCATGCATATGTTGCACGTCCAATTCAACATAGGCATAACATTTTAAACCATAAGATGTTTAAAAACTAACCGAACTATCCATTAAATCACTAAATCATACTTAAATCATTGAGGTGACCGTGGTTGTGAGGACAATGAATCCAGTGGAACCGATTATCAATTGCTATATCATTTTGAGTTAAGCCACAAGATCAAAAGAGAACAAGAACAATATTCTCTGACTCATGTTAGAACCATTGTCACATGATTCTTGATGATCCAAAATTATGTTGATCTAACATAGACATAGCATCACACTTCATAAGCAAGACTTTCAGAATAGTGTGCTCTCTTTATAATCACAAGTGCAATAAACAATTACAAGAAATTTCAGAAATTGGATAGCAGTCATAAAAGGAATAAAGATGCAAGCACCTGTGGAGGAACACCAAGCTCCAAGAAAACAGGGCCCAAAATAAACCCTCCTCCGAGGCCAAGCAGCCCTCCAACTACACCAGCAAGGATACCAATGCAGCAGTAAAAAACAAGATGAAGAACTGTAAAGCTTGTTCCTTCCTCCCCCTTTGATGAAATTATTCTCTTTCCTTTATATAAGCTAACAGCTTCATAGCCTGATACTCCCAAAGATACAGGAACCTGCAAAGCATTTTAGCAATATAGGTGTAACAACAGAAGTCGTCTTTAGATCACCACTAAACTTTACTCATTCGTTGTATGCAAAAGCATGAGACTAACCTGAAGCAAGTTCAGAATCCAGTACCACAGAGAACAGGTCGATGTGTAATTTTGCTGAAGAGAGATGAAAACAAGGCGTGCCACTCATCAATCTCATATATGTCGTAACAGCATTGATTTTACATGCCTAGGATCAGATTTATCACCTTTAAAACCTGCAGGATAAGGAAAGTTATCCATACAAAGGAAAGAAGACCAAGCTCCTTCCAGCAGACATTCTCCATGACAGGGACCTGCAATGTTTGTCTAATTATCTTAGTTCTCCGTAGGTCATGGTACAACCAAAAAGAGTGCTGCCTGCTGCATATATACCTCTTTGCGTCGAGCCTTTGTACTTGAATTTCCAGGACCAGAAGGTAGAGCGTTGTATTCTATTTCTTCTCTTCCTGCTTGAAATAGATGAGCAATTGGATCTTATATCTTTTTTTCAACACTTTCATGGACTGTAAAACAAATTGATCAGCTTACTTACCATTGGACTCTTTAAGCATCGCTGCCTCCTAAAATTCAAAAACATAGATCAGGCAATTTAGTATACAACTGAATTAGGATCATCAATTTAGCTTTAAGATGAGCTAGAGACAATCAGCACCTTCTTCATTATTGTCTCTTTCTTCCATGTCTCTACACCCTTCAAAAATGCTTTACTTGATGTACCTAACAACAGCAGCCACATACAATAAGCATCCAAACCTTACACCACTTGTGAGAAAAAGAAGAGTCACATTAAAAAAAATGACTTAATTACCAATGAAGAGAATAATCAGAAGGACAGTGACCATCCAATCAGCAAAGATGACATTGAATGCGACCCCAATGCTAATCCCCAGCATTAGCATTGGTTGGAAAAGCAAAGCCAGATCATAGTCAATGATGGGCATATCCAGAGTCGGATGCCTGAGCTTCAGATTGTACCAAACAGTTGATCCAGCTGCGCCCATGATCATACCTGTCCGAGGTTTACACTTCGACTTCAGCATATGAACATATATAAAAGTTACGAAGAAAAATCTAAAGAACAAGAACTGGATCCAAACTGTGAGAAACACAAGATAGATGTGCTACAGATTAAAATAACTAGAAAGAAACAGCAATAAACGATACTAATAGAAATGTGTGATCTACTGCAGAACAGACTATATACACCAAGTACCAAAAAGGCCCTCTTTTGTTTTCTGCATCTCCCTTAGCTTCATTGACGTGGATGCTTGCACAAAATTAGCAGAATCTACCAGTATATGCATTGTACAGGGTCTCACATTTTGACATAGCAGTCGAAGACTTCGCATCGAATCCAATGATAAGCGTGAGCATGGGGACGTAAATCCCACCCCCACCGACACCTCCGACGCTACCAAACGCGGATCCCAAGAACCCGATGATTGTTCCGACGACGATTTGCCACCCTAATTTCATGGGCTTCACAAAAAAGGGGGAAATTTGAAGTAAATGCATTGGCAATAGACAGAAAGGTGACCCAAAGAGATCGGAAAGAATGAAAAGTTCATGGCTTAAAATGTCATCTTTACCGGCCAAACGTGTTGGTAGGAAGATTTATCCGGCTGCCACAAGAAGTCCACCACCTTCAGCACGTAATCCGACAGCCCAACCTCTTCCACGGCGACGACGTCAGCAGCCGCCTCCTCGGGCTTCAGTCCGCGGTCCGCCACCACCACTGCTGCCGCCACCAACGCGACCAGAACCGCCGTCCACAACCATCCGGTGCGCCACTGGAGCCCCATATCCCCGTCTTCCTCCCCCCCAAAAAGTCCAACCTTCGCTCACTTCCTCGGACCTCCGCCGGAGAAATCAAAACTCCGGGGTTCAAATCCCCAGTAGCAACCAAAACCAAGGACCACTACGAGGTCAGCGCTCCGGAGTTCCAATCCCCCGTTCCCTCGACCGGAGCCGGAGGAAGAGCGACGCGGCCGATATCGGATCGTGCGGAGACTCACGGATCCGAACACGATAACGGCAGCCATCGTTGAGGCGGCAGCGCGGCTTTTAATATTTCTCAATAACAAAATGCCCCTCTCGTTGCCGATATTTACGACCAAGGCCATACTGTCCATGAACCTTTGGATACTATTCACCAGTGTATATAATTAAGCCTCGGATCTTCATCAACAACCCTACATGTGAAGATTGTGATCATGTTGTTGTGATCTACGGTGTACGTTCACCCCACGAAGCTTCATGGAGTTCTCTGTGATAATTATTTTTTGGTATATTATTAATTGGCATTTTTATTTTAGAGCATTGTTTCATATAGTAATTTCAGGAAATAATTAAATGCCATATTTGCCTTCCACACATGACATATCAGTAAAATAAAATATACTGGGGAATGCAACTAAATCAGGTCAATGGAACTTTGACTAAGTTTATGTGGAAATAATTTAAGTCACTTTGATTTAGTAATTTAGCTCAAACAATCCAGTGGGAATTCTCATTGGCTATCAAGAAAGGGTTAGCTGGAATTATCTTAGCGATCATATTTTGGGTTGACAGCCATGACAAAAACTTATGGCGCACGGATCGTGTGCGGCAAGAGTCTTGGGATCCTCTACAATTCATCTCATCGGTACGTCCAAGTATCAATCATCGGTCAATGGCGTTAATGGTAAGGACGCTGTCGGAATTGGAAGAGGACGGAAACAGTCATAATTGCAGAGGATCCCTTACCCTGGTGCGGCGTGGCCGTAATTATGGCATGAACGTAAGGGTAGCTTCGGATTCTAAGGCAAACTTGTTATTGGTGGGATGGAGAAAGGTGGTGGGGGCCAGCTCGGGATGATTGCTCGCACCTGACATGCACGTGAGTCTTTGTCTAATAAATGACTTCCATGCACGATAAAGGACTCTGGAACGCTTTCCCCTCATTGGATGGGAGATTTCTTGTCCGGGACCAGACAGGATCCAAGATTATCCACTGACGACGTCGATGGACGCGCGTTACCCGCATTTAGACCAGCGGCTTGGCATGTAGAAGAACGTGAATCGTAATTGGGATAATCATTGGATCCGGAATGTTCAGGGTCCATGAAGGCCACCGGCAAGTTGGGTCCGGTAGATTGGATGCGTCGTTTCATATCTTGTATAATCCTCCAATTCAATGAATTTTGCATTTGCCTCTTTAAATTTAAGTTATATGTATGTTATATAATATATGTATATATGTATATATGTATATATATATATATATATATATATATATATATATATATATACCATCGATATATTATTTCATAAGTGAAATTAAAAATAAAATTAATACCTCTTTGATATTAATAAATATGAGGGTCACTTAATTGTTAAAAAGTAAATAATATTTTATGTACTCAAATTTTAATTTCAGATTTATTATATATTTATTAAATTTAAATATATATTTTTTATATTCAACTAATAAGCATGAACGATATTCATCGATATTTTCAAATGTATGGTAATTAAGATATTGAGAATCCAAATCAAGATCACTAAAACATTATCATAATGAAGGTTTAGATATTCGATCTTTTTTTATTAGAACATTATTTTTGAATCTTTATATATCTTTTTGGCTAAATTATTTTTAAAGTAAGACTTTTGAGTGGTAATATTATCCTCGGTCTATTTATTATCATATTAATTTATTATTCAATTGGACATTGGGGTTATAAAGATAGCTATCTTGGTCAATTAATTATTATTAGATCACTGATAAGTTATTTAATTTATATTTTTAAATCGGTGTAATTTTTTTCTATTATGGTCTTAAAAGGAATCAATATTACTTCGTTTTACCTTATCTGTATTCTCGATGATTTTATCGTTTGAGAGTCTAAAGAACTCCTTTCTCTATAATCTAAAGTAATACATTAGTGTATTAGATATTATGGAGTATAAAATATTTCTATAAAGGTGGTCGAGCCTCTCAAGAGGAACCTTCACTCTTAAATCAATCAATTGGTGAACGTAAGCGTTAGACCTCCTTAATTGGAATATTTTATCTACCTTTTTTTTTTTTTTTTTCTTACCATCAAAATTTAATTACAATATATTCATTGACATTTTATAGTAGTTTTAGATAGATAATTGGTGGTTTCCTAGTAATACTAGCGAATGATATAAGGGATAATTTCTCTCTATTGATTGAGTTAAGTGAACCGGGTAGGAGAGGAATACTAATCTAGCCAATGCTTGGACCTATAAGGTTAGGATAGTTGACATGGAGTGTACTATCAGCCAATCATCATTCGACATGATCATTATATGGTGTCCAAGGTGGAAGGAGAAGAAAGAGGCTACCCTCTACCTATTTACTCATATGAGCAAAGCTGAAAGATAGGTGATTATAGGTTATCTACACATTATCGCTTGTGTTGAAAAGATGCAAAGGGGAGGCGATTAGAGGCTACCTTCCCATATACTACTCACATTTTTAGGACCATGTATAAAAGCTCATCTTCAATATAATAAAAGAGGGGGGATCACCTTTTTTACTACTCACGTTCATACCCATATACTTTGGGCTACTAACTCGAGTGTCGAAGGGATCGAGTCGGGAAACCTTTATCGGCCTCGGTCTTTATGTAAGTGGTACCTCGAACAATCCTATGCATATAGGTCTAGACCACTTTAATTTGAAGGGAAACCTCTATAGGTCTCAGACTTCTTTCCTTAATATTTTTTTTGCTAGAAAGAGGGCATTAAAAAACCCAAGGATGACTCTGAGGCATGGAGGTCGGGAAATCTGATCCTCTCCTTGCCTACGGTTATTGTTGAGTAGTAGAGGTCAAAAAACCTGGCCCCTCCACTACTTGAGTTGTGGTAGTTGATAAACCCGACTAGGTCGGGAAGAGACGTAGAGGTCGGAAAACCTAACCTCATTCAACTAAGATGCATCCCTCAATAATACGAGACATAGATCAATGATTAATCGTCACCAGTAGCGCTCACGACCCTCCACACTTAAAGGAGGGTTAGGCTCACATCGACATGGATCTTTCCTCTACCGAGGAGGGCATGTTGACAAGGAGTGACCTCTTGTCGATGGACAAAGGTCATCAATTCAAGATATAGGTGCCCCTCGACTCTATCGACCTTCGCCTAATGCATGAAGTTGGAGCACTAGTCGAAAAGACATAAGTTTAATGTATTAAATGAATTAGATATTGCACTTCGAATCCCTCTCGTGAGAATCTCAAATCACGCTATGAAAGGGGGACAAATGATATAGAGCACACTGTTTGTCAATCGTCATCTGATACATGACCACCACTTAGGTGTCCATAGTGGAAGGAGAAGGTGGAAGTCATCCTTCATCCATCTATCCACGTAAGGCTCTAAGGTAGGTAGTTATGGGCTATCCCCCTCTTATTATCTGTGTGGATAAGAGACCAAGGAGAGATTATTGGAGAGTTAGAGGCTATCTCTTGATTGTATATTTTATGAAATATTTTATCCCTTTACGACTAGATATAAACGCTCATCTTCAACACAATAAAAGAGGAGGATTACTTTTTTGACTACTCACATCCACGCCTATATACTTTAGATTACTAACTTGAGTGTTAGAGGGATCAGATCGAGAAATCTCTCTCAACCTCAGTCTTCGTGTAGGTAATATCTCAGGAGCTCGATGTTTCTACCTCAAAGACACCTTGAACAACTCTACGCATACAGGTCTAAACTATATCGGGTTGACTAAGACATCAATAATTTCTTCTCTCAATAATAGTAATGGCTTTTGTTGGTAAGGTGATGAAAAGAAGCTTATCATAAGTTATTTGACTCGTAGTTATTGAAGAAGTTTCAATGTCGAAGTAATGCAAGATGGCTGAACGAAAGGTTTTTGGATCGAGTTTAGGACAATGCTTCAGGATCTTCATTACGATTATGTGAAGTTTCAACGTAATTATCTTATAAAATATTAGCCCTTGTTTTAACATCCATATGTTAAAACATATTTTGATTATCCAATAAAATTATTTTTGATATTAAGTTAATAAAGAATATTCGAAAGTTTCATCAAAGAAAGAGAGAACCCAAGTGCTACCTGATGTCATTTATCATGAATTTTTTATTAAAGATCAAGTGTCGAATTGACGTAATCATATATTATATTAATACATTGATCAATATGTTGAGAGGTATATAAGTCAAAATCCTTTCATAAAGAGAATATAAAAATAATATTACTATTGGGAGTGCAAATATGGTATTGTCATGGAAAATCACATTTTAGGAAAAAGAAAAAGAGTACATAAGCAAAATAATTGGCACAGACTTCTTTTTATTTAGAAAATATAGATCCTCAATCAAGTTATTGAAATAGTTTGAGATATCTTGTTGTGGGTGGAGCCCATGCCACGTGAGAGAAATTAAAAGCGGGTAGTCCTGTTGATATGTTATCATTGAGTCACAAGAGGGAATGGGACCCGCTTCAACCTTGCTTTGATTCGTATCATTTTTTATGTTTGGCTTTTTGTTATTATTGCTGCTGCAATCTTCTCCATTGAGAAATAATAATAATATATGAAATAACTAGAAAATCCCCCTTTATTTATGAGAAAAATATTGGCTTTATTTTATTTTATGTGTGGAGAAAAGCTAAAGGTAGTGAGACTCTTATGTATCAAACATCAAGTTTGATCATTTAATTGAAGAACTTGTGGTCTTCAGATCCAAGAACTTTTGAGCACAACTCAGATAGGAGCCACTTCCACAGCCTCTCCAACAGCAAGTGTGGGAGGCTATGGATTCCTCAGACAATGAGATCCATCAGATGAGTACCAACAAGAGATGAATCTGACCTCAGATAGCTTATCAACAATGGAGCTTATCCTGCAACTTGCACAACAACAAGTGTGGCAGTGCCCTACAATCTTCAGACAACAGAATCCTTCAGAATCCTCAGTTGTCTAAAGGGACCACCAAACCACAACTCTAAGGCTTAATGATCATTTCCATCACAGAGTTAATCCCATATATCCCAGTAATTAAGTAACAATATGCATCTAAGACAGATCAGTTTGCACTTAATAGGAAACTGCAACATTATTGTTGCATCTGATGTGATGGTATGGTGATCTGATTGTGACAACACTGATCATGATACAAGAGCCAAGTGATTGGGGTGAAAAGAACAAGACCACACTATATGTGGCTCAGATGGTAATGCCATCAAAAGATTGGACCATGGTGGATCACTTTGAGCAGGGAGCCTATCATATTAGTTCTGCAGCATTTAACTGATGGGAAAACTTTTTGCTGCCTCTTTATCTATTCCAAAATTTGGATAGAAATAATGTTTAGTCTTTACTTTATGTGCAATATTTAGCATAGCAAAATCCTTCTTTCAGAAAAAAGAGAAACAGGAAATCAAGTCAATACTTAGAAATGATTAATTGGGTTAAAGATCCTGTCTTTGACATAATTCTTTTGTTTATCCTATAGAAGGATACATGTAATAGAAGAAACTAATTGATAACTTGCACTTGATTGTGTCCACAATTATTGTCATTCACTTAAACTTCTCAAAACATACTTTATTGGAGCACTGCAATCAGTAAGGTATATAAGAGTACATGACAATGACAATTGGAAGGACATAAAGGTTCAACAGTCAACACTCATTAGCATTAACTAAAAGGGGAGGACCATGCCACTGTCAACCATCTTATGCTCCTGATAAAACCCCCTTGATGATTCTAATTAAGTGATGTGAGTGAAAATTAATTGGATTGAGCAGCTGTATTCTTTTGTTCACATGGAAATATATCTGGTCCCTTATCATTGATCAGTTCAATCAGTCACATAAACTAAGTATTAGTTAGGGTTTTAAAGTAGTAGGATTATGGAAGAAAACATTCAGAAGGTTGTTGTAATTTTAGATTCAATGAGAATAATTACATATTATGTGTCTCTTTTCTCCTCTCCTCTTAGAAATCAAACCTAATATATGTCTCACAAATCCAATATTATTTATCATCTAGTATCAGAGCTTGTTAAATGCTCAAGATCTAAAAGAGACAAGACAAAAGTTAGATGAAGCAAGTGAGAAGTGTATCTTTTTTTATTATGCATCACAATCTAAAGGCTACAGTTTTATAGTTTAAATAACAAGCAAGAAAATTATAATTAGCAGAGATGCTATATTTGATGAAAGGTGCTGCCTTGAATTGAAAAGAAGGACAATGAGAGAAAAAATATGAATATGTTGAAATAATACTACTAGGACAGGTTTAAATCATGGAAGTTCATCATCCAACAGATTAAATTCTGTTACATAATCTAAGGTAACCTTGTGAAAGCTGCTACTCCTCTTTATATGTAGTTTGAGTATAGATCCAAATTGGCATGAGCAATCCCATCAATGAGGCTGTAGATAAAGATGAGACCTAAAGACAATTCCATTTAGTGGGGACAAACTTTGATTGAAGCCTTACATAAACCAACAAAATGAATACCACTTTGTTAAGATGGTGTCCCTCAAATAATTGCTAAAGACAAGAGACTATATGCATCTATTATTGTGCTCCAATACAGAAAATAACTTGAAAAAAAAGAGAAAAATTCAGACCATATTTTAAACTTTCAGTTTCCTTTTGAAGTTCTACCAGGACTATTTTTATGGTACTATCATCAGAACTCATATTTGCAGAGGAGATTTAACAGATGATTGTGTTAGATAAAGAAAGATGAAACCATCATTGCAAATTATTGAATGCAGTGTTAAATACCTGCTTTGTTCTTTAAGTTTGTTTAGCTTTATGTGAAACCATGTTTTCTGAGTGCCTAAGATCCAATACTGCTTCTGTTTCCATGTTTTCACCACCTGTTTTTTCCCTCCCTACTTCTGAATTCTCACTGTTACTGATACTTCTGATTCCATGAGAGTCAGTATGAGTTGTTTAGAACTTCTGGTATTGTAAAATAGGCTTCAGTGGATATATTATCAGCATTCCACAATAAGCACTTGCAGCTCTTTGGTTTAATTTGCATTAGCATGGTGTTGGCTTTGAATTTTCATTCATATTAATGATTATATGGTGTGCATTAGCTTAATCATCTCTATTATATATTTCAACTGATGGTTGTTTAATATAATGCTCCATTTTTAATTCTTGTCACTATCTCTGAATAATCTGTTGATCTGAGTTAATCATTTCTTACTACAAAAGCTTCAATTTAATTATTTTGATAAGAAACAAAGGATGGAGGAGATCTTTTTTTTTCTTTATTTTATTTTAATTTTTATCTCTTTTTCTTGATCTTCACTTCCAGAGTATATTGTTCTGCTCTAACAGCTCTGGAGATCTTCACAGTTCCTCATTCAGATGTTACCAGGTCTTCAAGAACTCATTTGTTTCTTTCAATCCACAGATAAGCACAGCAACAGCTCACTGCAGTTATCAGGAAACCTCATGACATCCTAGTCAATATCTATAGACTTACTTGCCAAGTCCTCAGCTTTTTCTTTCAAGTCTCAAGCAGTTCCTTCTCCTCCAGGATTCATCAAGGAAACTTAGTCAACATAAGTTCTCATTGGCAACACATGTCTCTGCATGTCCTTTTTCTCTTTACTGTTTGTGTGTGTCACAGTGGCAGGTCATTTCTCCATATCATCAGAGAAAAAAACAAAAAGGATTTATCTGTGGCTATTAATCATCTAAACAATTTTTGGTGCCCTTTTGTCACTTTGAGAGGTATCACCAGATTAAGAAAACATATGTTTTTGTGTCCAGGAAATTGTCTTTAGATCTGATCATCTTTCCATTTTTTTGCATGCATTAACCATCATCTAAAAGCCCAACTGTTCTCTTTGTCCATTTGAATTGAAAAGGATAATAATGGCTAGTGTGTTTGGAACTTTGGACCATGTGATTGAAGTCCACTAAAAGCTTCCTCTGCATCTTGTCACATAGCATTTCCACTCTATTCCAAACATACATTAAACAGATGTAGCTGACCATCTTTGGCCTCCAACAAAGGATGTCATCAGTTCTCAAGCATATAAATTGTTAGGCAAGACAGTCTGAAGCAAATGCTTTGGGGGGGAGAGAGAGAGAGTCTGAAAGAATATGAAGGATTACATGCTGCTAATATATCTGATATGGCTTAGAAATGATATGTTCATGAACTTAATTTCTTTGATACAAAGTAGTAAATATATGGTGCTAAACAGGCAAAGCTCTTTGTGCTGACAACTGAGTGAGATTGGTGTGTTTCATCTTTCTGTTGTTCTGCACTTGTTTTCAAGTAAACATGATCTTGATCACCTTCCAATATAATTCTCATTTGAACTGATCTCACCCTGCTTCTGCCACAACATTGGGCTTCCTTAGCTACACTCAATCAAGAGCAATACACAACTATTGGGCAGCCAAACCATATAATTTGCATCAATCTTAGTCTAATAGATTTCAACTCTGGTAGCAAAGTTCAGACAATCCAATCACATAAATACAGATTTTTCTTAGGTGATCGAATGAAGTTAGATGATGACTTCATTGATTTAGATGTTTCTTAAAGAATCAAAAATAAAAAATAATTATAACTTTCATAATATTTCATGATGTCTCTCTTTCATGCTTACTTTTTTTTTTTTTTTTTATCATATTTATTTATTTTGGAAATAAATTAATTTTCTTGCTTTCTTTTAGCACTTACTTCATAAAAAAAAACAAATTCTTATATTTTTGAAAATTTGAACTACTTAATTTTAGGTTAAGGAATTAACTTTGAATTTCCACCATATGTTGCTGTCCCAAATAGCAAATATTTCTTATGCAATCAACCAAAATTGTCGAAATTTATAATAATCCACACCTAATTTTGAATTGTCATCTGTCACTTCCTACAAGCTACCCAAAACTAACCCAACAAAAGTGCAGTCATAGTAGATCCATTTACAGCCGTCGATCCATCAAAACCACATTGTTCTGACCGTCGGATCCATCAGCGGTCTTGTCCGCTCCTTGTTCGTCGCGTTGCTCTTTCGCACAACATAAGAGGCAACCACGGACAAGCAATTCGTCCTACTTTTTATGTCGGCCGTTCGATCTGTTGGCCCTCTCTGTTGCATCACTAGGAGGCGATAGCGGTAGTGGCGTTAATGGGGCGGCCGCCGGCGAAACCCACACGACTCCTCCGGGAAACCGCTCCCTGAGCCGCCCCCCTCGCTGGCCGCGATGGCCGATCGAAGCCGCGCCTCCCACGGCTCCTCCGCCCTCCTCGCGCCGCTGTTCCTCGCCTTGATCCCCTTCTCCCTGGTTCGCCCTGCTTCCGATCCGTCGGCGATCGTCACCGGATCGAATTACGGAGCCCTCCCTCCCGCCCGGAACCACGTCGTCAGGTTTCTGGAGTACCGGATGGCAGAAGATCACCGGGCCTACCTTGCTGAGAATCTTGGATCCCGGAACGGGTGGTGGTGGGTCGAGCGAAGGAACCCGGCGGCTTCGTTTCCTACGGATTTCGGAGTTTTGGAGATTGGGGATCTGTATCGGGCTTCGCTGATCGAAGAGCTCCGAAGGTTGGGGCGGGTGAAGGATGTATACGTCGATACGAGTTATTCGAGGAGTTTGTTCGTGGAGGAGAGTCCCAAAGGCGGTAACTTCTATGATTTGGAGAAGCGGCCTGGGAAGATTTTCACATCGATGTCTTTTGAAGAAGGAGAGGAGGTGGTTTATAGTCCGGTTAGCAATGCTTCCATTAGCTGGAGAAGAAAGCTCATGATGCAGGTAACTGTCTTATTAAATGGTGCTGTTGGTTTGTTGAACGCATCAGTTGAAAATGCAATATTATGATGATATTTCCATGGTGGAGCCTGAAACTCTAATATTATTTTGATCATTCTTTAATTGGATATATTTTTTCACATTGCTAACAAAGGCCAGGAAAAAGAGTGAAATTAAAATCATGGATAGGGGTTATTGTATGAATTACCAGAAAATTCATAGTCTAACTGTCGCCCAACTGGTCTGTCTATGATCTTTAGCCTTGTAACTTCTCAATTTTCTTTTATGGCTTGGAAATTGAGCTTTAGAAAACTCTGTTGAGCTTTATAACTTGCAGGCTGATGCACGATATTAGGGGATGATGAAAGTTATTTAATCAGACACATTCTGGAACTTGGAATGTGTTAATACAGTCATAAAGAAGAAAATCATACGTAAAGCTGTACAGTAATTTTTGTTAATTATAACAAAGAGTGAAAAAAGGAAATAAAGATGTCGAGAGTATTGCTAACTTACTGTTTCAGTCAGCTGTAGATTTTTTTTTAATATTTTCAGTCAATTAAATGAGTAGTTTAAGTCAACACAACGAGCTTAATTCAGATTAATTTGCTGTATCCAGGGTCTAGCTAATTTGAATTTGTTTATATGTTTGAGCTGGGGCCTAACCTAGAAATCGATCTGTCTACTTGTGTCATAATTTGTTTGATATTTTTGAAGAATTTAATCATTTAGATGAACTTTTCCCTCTAATTTGGACGCAGCCACAATTTTTTAGGTGTAAATTTCTTTGAATTCTATAAGAACCGAGATTTTCATCAAATAGGAGCTCAAGTTGGTTGGAAACTGAAGAAACAGATGCAGGGTTTGACCATATCTAGAAAAATTATTTATGATTGGTGATATGGGCCTGCTACGTTTCTAAAGGGGAGCATGTAAGTCAACAGGAGAAAGTTAAATAAATTTTGATTAAAAGGAACTGATTCTTCACTGCTAACAAACCTGTTTTTCATTCCTCTCACTCCCTTTTTCCATTTTTCTAATCGTCCGCTCTACTTTTTCTTTGGCATCTGTGCTTGGTAAATATTGTACAATTGCAGAGAGCAGTGTCTTAATATTCTCTGCCATGAATCTCAGACCACACACTTTTACTGTCCAGATATGATTAATTATTTATTTGTTTAACCTCAGGTTGTCCTCTTTTAGAATAAGTATTAGATTCTACGTCCTCATGCTTTAGTAAGCTTGTTCAGATATTCACTGGTCCTACTGTTAAGTGGCGGGAGATACTTGTGAGCTAGAAACCATAATCATGAACCATTGAGTGGTTCACCCATAAAGAACATGATCAGTAAGATTATCCCTCTAATTCTATGATGGATGAAAAGAGAAGTTGCAAGTTCCCCAATTTATATTTTCAACAATCAAATAAACTAGCTGATCTACATTCTAACAGTGTGAATCTCTGGTGTTTTAAGTGTTTAGCTACTTAGGAACATTAACCTTCATGGAAACAAACCTGTTAGATTTAGCTTGATGATAGTCTGTCCCCATAATTTGAAATTTTCTTTCAGTGGACCCCAGTGGACACTGCTATTAGAATCTGATCACCTGTGTCACCAAATGAGAGCATAATACGAAGATCAGTACTAAACTATGTTTGAGAAATCATAGGTACATCAACTATCTATTTAATTATAAAAGCAACCTTGGCTTTCTAACGAGAATTCCTATGCAGGTGTTAAACTCCTAGCAAGTCCATAATCTTATAGATAGACAAATTATGAAATGCTGATCTGAGTCCTTTTTATGCATTAAACAAGTATTCTTTTGAACAGTATCATCTTCCAGACAAAAAGCAGCTATAAATATCCTTTGATAGCTTAATAATTGCATATAAGCAACCACTATCTTGTACATCCTATAATATATGCATGAAAATATAAGACAATGAAATCTAGTTCTAATTCTAGCTATTTTAGTTTCTATGAACAAATTGCCCTTTTTTCATGGAGGTGCTGTACCAAAATGGATATATGGCTTCATGGAATATAGCAATTCTTCTACTGTAATTGTATCCCAACGAATAGTTTTTGGTACATGGGAAATTAAATGCAGCAAAATATGCATGAAGGCTGTGCTAGTTTTCTTGTCAATGATTTTCATGAAGGTCTTGCCTGGTTATATCATGTGCTTAGGCATGTGAACAGCACAACATGGTAAGGCACATGGCAAATCTTGTTTCTTTCAGTATTGCACGTGCGCGCGCGCACACACACACACACACACACACACACACACACGATTACATGCATGTCTGTGTGTCATATTCTTCTTGCTTAGACGGCTATGAGAGGACAAAGCAGATAAACTTTCTACCTTTTCTTTTTTTTCCCTCAAAATTAGTGTTTGAAGCAACTAGATAATGGTGACTGTTTTTGTGATAGAATAATCGATCTTTTATTCTCTTATTGTGAATATCCAATGAAACAATATTTATTTTTTCTGTATGTTGATTTATCAATTAATATTTTACAGGAAATAGTAACTACATTTGCTTAGTTTACTAGAATAAATAATTCTATGACAATCCATTTTTAAGACGGTCAAAAAACTATAATTTTCCAATTAATAAAGGGTCATTGAAGTGGCAGTCTTAGTGAATTTTCTTCCACTTAATACGAAGGTGACTGAAATATTCCGTGTGCTGAAGGAATGAGCATTCCTTGAGTGCTACTTTTCCCTTTAATTATTTATGTTTAAATCTTTTAGTGGCTCGGGATGCTTAAATACATATCTCTTAGACTGCATTGAGCTTTACATTAATTATTTGCTAGGCTTATGTGACATTAGTTATCTTGTGGCAGAGATCTCAAGTTACTTCTCTTTTTGGAGCTGACAGACTTTGGACTAAGGGTTTCACTGGGAGAAGGGTCAAAATGGCAATTTTTGATACTGGTATTCGAGCAGATCACCCACATTTTCGTAATATTAAGGTATATTTTTCTTCGTTTGCTGAGGTCGAGTAATCAATTGCACTAAGCATTTTTATAAATTGTTGTCGTGGGTAATATTTTGATGCATCAAAAAACAATATCAACATGATCTTAAGGCTCATATCTAAGTGATAAAACTGAAATCAAATGACTTGAAGATGATTGTGGTCTGTTGGATCAGGTTCTGAATATTGCTTGTCAAGTTCCTGGATGTTGATATAGTACCTTATGTGATAGATCCAACTTAACTTTGTTATATACTAGTGACTGATTAAGTATCATGTTACCTGAACTTATTTATTTTAAGATGATAAATTTGTCCTTTTCTATCCTATAATATGTTGGAGCAAACTCTGACTTTGAAGATATATTATTTTTCTGCTAAAAATATTTTTCTCCTCCTTTGAAGATATATTATTTTAAACTTTCAGTGGTTAGAAAAAATTTCATTTTGACTTTCTAGGAACGCACAAATTGGACAAATGAAGATACACTAAACGACAACCTTGGGCATGGCACCTTCGTAGCCGGAGTTGTTGCTGGTGAAGATGCAGAGTGCTTGGGTTTTGCTCCAGACACTGAGATATATGCTTTTCGTGTATTTACAGATGCTCAGGTGATGCATAATATTCTGGATGAAAGTGATTATCAGTTCTAGCAGATTGCCTTTCATGGCCCATTTCCCATTTGACATGAAATAAATATTATGCATCTCTGTACATCTTTTGTCTTGGCATTGACTGATATATAAAGTTTCAATTCTAGATGGATCTTCTCCATAGTTGATATTATATTTATGGTTTATGTTATAAGATCCCAAAAGAATTTAGGCTTTTTACTTGGTGGGAGGAAACTAATTTTGCAAGACTTTGTGGTGCCTTATGGCAATATATCAGGACATTGGCTTGTGCTGATTTTCAAAAGATCAATAAAATCACCAAGTTATTAATATAATATTATTATGGCTGCTCTAGTAAATAAATATAGAAATTTGAAAGTGCTGCCAATTTAATAAGCATGATTTTCTTTGTTTACCTGTAGCTTTGTGGTTGTGAACTTTCACATTATGCTCTCCTGAAGACAAACTAATGATTATGTTCCTTGGTTGTAATGGCCACGTAGAATATTGGTTCAAGAAGACAATTTTCATTGGGGATTGGATGATCTTGTTGATGTCAGTTGATTGAGAACGGATATGGGGAATCAGAAAATTCTGCTTTAGACATTTTTTACTGCTGTAATTGCTGAAATGGTTGAAACTGTACCCATAATGGCTAACAATGCTTCAACTGTTAGAAGTGCTGATTCAGCCAATTCATCCAGGGGCTGAAACAAAGCTGAACTAGAAACCTTGTGTCCTGCATTATATGCTTCTCACCAGAACATATATGCATTATCTGATGCAAGTCTTGTGCACAAGTTGTTAAATTATTAATGATTAATACTAGCCCTGACCACAGTTCGGTTCGAACTGGAACCGAATCGACCTGACAGTTTGCCTGTTCCAAACTGAACTGGAATCGGACCTGGGCAGTTCGATTGCGGTTCTTGGTTTTTGGGAACCGGAATCGGCGGTTCCGGTTCTGGCTCGAATCAGTGGTTCACAATTTAAAAAATATATGTTTTTTCTATTTTAAAATATGATTTTTTATTTTAAATTTAAAAATTAAAAACTGACGGTTTGAACTGGAACCGACCCCTATATGGTTCGGTTTTGGTTCCCAAAATAAAGGAACCGAACCCACTCTTCCAACTATTTCATCTTTGCATACTCAAATGTCATGTTTTTTCTTACAACATGATGACTTTTATTTTGCTCAATTTATCTTTGTGCTTTCTGCACCATAAGTTTCTAGTTTAGATATATTGACACAAATATAACTGCAATATGAATTTGGTTCTCTTTTAGTGCATGTTAATATTTGTTGTTTTTGTACTAATACATTAGCTACTGCATCCTGTCACCAAAATTGAGTATCATGTTCCCCCAATACCTGCCCCTCCTAAATAATAGAAAATCCCTGTCCCTGTTGCTGATATAGTAGCAAATTTCTGCCCAAGTAAATGAAGGGTTTACTGGTAGACTTAGAGATTTAGATATGTTTTAAGACTTCTGCAGTTGGTCATGCCATTTAAAGTGAGGCATTAATATAGAAACCTTCCATAGTCCTAAAAGCTGGGAAAGTAACCAAAGACGGGAAATTAAGATTTGCCACAGGATATATTCATCATATAAAAAATCACCATTTTATTAATGAGAGTTCAAGAATAACTTTGATGGCAACTTTACTTGATTTTAGGTAACATACTTCTTTTCTATTTTTTCATTGTTGAATACATTTTTTTTCAAAACATTGTTGAATAACTACTGTTGCTTCAACACTCCATCTGCTCCCAACAAGTGTTGGCAAGATCATGATAATTTTTCATTCAGCCTCATTGCAGGTTTCTTATACATCTTGGTTTCTTGATGCATTTAATTATGCTATAGCCACCAACATGGATGTGCTAAATCTGAGTATTGGTGGACCTGATTATCTTGATCTCCCATTTGTAGAGAAGGTATTTTCTACTTATTGTTTAATTATTATGATATGTGACTTATGTGGAATTTTACTCAATGCAACTTTGAGCATTTTGTATCCTTTTTCTTTCCAAGAATAATATGGAAATGCCAGAATTTCTTTTTTATATATTTGAAGTCAATAACAAATATGATTTCAAGAGTTCATATTCTTTCTCTTAAGTGTATACATTCATTGCTTTTAACCCCTTCACGTTGTTGATAATGAAATAGATCTCATCCAGAAAGTTGACTGATAAATGCAGTAACTCATGTATTGACCACAAGATACATCTAAATCAAATCTGCAACTCATCTGCAACTCTTGAACAGTAGAAATATTTTTTGTTGTTCTGTGGTTGGTACTTCCATTAACCAGAAAGAAAGGGTAATTTTATATGTTCGTCCCAGATGTGTATAATGTTGTGTATGTCATTTTAATGTTGCAAATACCGCACTTATAAACATCTCTTTGTTGGAAGGATATTCATAGAAGTTGGTTAACTTTAGAAGGTTATCTATGATATCTGTAACTTAGTAAGGGTTTATGTTTTATGAGTGGACACAGTTTGCCTACTTTTCATAGATTGTGGAATAATTCATTTAATTGATTTTAAGGCAACAAATAACTTCTTAAATTATTGTTAGCATTTCACTTGTCATCGCCAACTGGACAATCACTTCTAGTGCTTGTATATTCCGAGAAAACTGATCCCAATAATTTAATTCCAGAATGAGTGAAGCAACCAGTATGAGTTATATCTTGGCACTTCTATTCTTCAAGTACTAAACTAAGACTGTAGTTGTATATTTAATTGAAATGGTTATTCAGGTGTGGGAGCTCACAGCAAATAATATTATCATGGTGTCAGCTATTGGAAATGATGGACCTCTGTATGGAACCCTTAATAATCCTGCTGATCAAAGTGATGTTATTGGAGTCGGTGGTATTGATTACAATGATCATATTGCTTCTTTCTCCTCGCGTGGCATGAGTACTTGGGAGATTCCTCATGGGTAGGTGATTCATTTACCTTCCAGTGTTTTCATCCTGGAAAGGTGTCATTTGGCATCCTCTGCATTTTATGAAACTGTAGGAACAAAAGTATATCTTCCATTGTCTTGGATGTTTGCTAGTTTCTTGTCTAGGTTTAAATGGACATCCTACATTGAAGTGGCATCCTGTTGCTTTTCTCACCCCGGTTAATCCGTTTTATTTAATATCTATACCACCTTTTGTGTTTATCCATTACAAGAAATCTATACCACCAAAGTCATCTTACTTGCCAAAAGCAGAAGTTTGGACAAGCAAACTTATGCATGGTCCTGTGTTTATGGATTTTAATTAGCAATGGCTTTTACCAATCTGTTGGATGTTTGAACAGTTATGGTCGCGTCAAACCAGATGTTGTTGCCTATGGTCGTGAAATTATGGGATCTAAGATCAGCACTGGTTGCAAGAGCCTGTCAGGTACTAGTGTTGCAAGTCCAGTTGTTGCAGGTATTGTCTGCTTGCTTGTGAGTGTCATACCCGAGAGCATGCGAAAAGATTATTTGAATCCTGCAAGCATGAAGCAAGCACTAGTTGAGGGTGCAACCAAACTTTCTGGTCCTAACATGTATGAGCAAGGCGCAGGCAGAATTAACCTGTAAGTTTTATATTTCAGTAGTTTTTCTATTTACTTGCACTGCAGATTATAATAATGTTGTGCCATTATCCTTGTTTTAGTTGGGAGTCATATCAGATCCTGGAAAATTACCAACCACGAGCTAGCATTTTTCCCAGTGTCCTTGACTACACAGATTGTCCTTACTCCTGGCCTTTCTGTCGGCAGCCTCTTTATGCTGGGGCTATGCCTGTTATTTTCAATGCAACTATACTTAACGGCATGGGTGTGATTGGTTATGTTGAGACGCCACCAACATGGCATCCTTATGATGAAGTGGGCAACCTGCTTAGCATTCATTTCACCTATTCTGATGTAATCTGGCCTTGGACCGGATACCTTGCACTTCACATGCAGATTAAGGATGAAGGTGCTCAGTTCTCTGGGCTAATTGAAGGTAATGTGACACTTAATGTGTACAGCCCATCACCTCCCAGAGAAAAAGGGCCACGAAGTAGTACGTGTGTGCTATATCTGAAACTAAAAGTTGTTCCAACACCACCTAGGTCAAAAAGAATTTTGTGGGACCAGTATCACAATATAAAGTATCCACCTGGATACATTCCGAGAGACTCCTTAGATGTCCGAAATGACATCCTTGACTGGCATGGTGACCACCTGCATACAAATTTTCATATCATGTACAATATGCTAAGGGATGCAGGATACTATGTTGAAACACTTGGGTCACCTCTGACATGTTTTGATGCTAGTCATTATGGAGCACTGCTTATGGTGGATCTTGAAGATGAATACTTCAAAGAAGAAATTCAGAAACTTAGGGATGATGTTATAAATGGAGGGCTCGGTATTGCTGTCTTTGCTGAATGGTATAATGTAGATTCAATGGTTAGAATGAGATTTTTTGATGACAACACGCGGAGTTGGTGGACACCTGTTACTGGTGGTGCAAATATTCCAGCGCTTAATGAACTTTTGGCTCCACTTGGTATTGCTTTTGGGGACAAAATCTTGAATGGTGATTTCTCCATCAATGGAGAACAGAGCCACTATGCCTCTGGTACTGATATTGTAAAATTTCCACAAGGTGGTTATTTGCATAGTTTTGAATTCCAGGACAATTCAGAAAGTGGTGCAACACAGAACATTCTTTCGGCTTCTGGGATGACTAAGGTTAGAAACCTAGATTCCTTACCTTTTTCACTTATCAATGATTAATGTCTGAAATGTCAATGGATGATTTGTGCAAGGTTCTCTATGTTACCAATGTACATATCAATATTTGTTTAAGTTTTTGCTGTTTAAATAATTGTTTGTGGTTGAATTCTGGGATGACTAAGGTTGGAAACCTAGGATCCTTACCTTTTTCATTTTTCAATGATTAATGTCTGAAATGTCAATGGATGCTTTGCGTAGGGGTCTTTATGATACCAATCGACATGTCAATATTTGTTGAACTTTTTGCCATTTACGTAATTGTTTGTGGTTGAATTTGCCTATCTAGTTGATATTTGGAATTAATCTGAAGAAAGATGTTTCGCGATTTCTAACTTTTGCATTCTGTATTTTTTTTCTTTTTTGTTTCACGTAATTTTTTATATTGCAGGTTTCCCCAATTCTTGGTCTTGCGGAAGTCGGGAAGGGGAGGGTTGCAGTGTATGGAGATTCAAATTGTCTTGATGGCAGTCATATGGTAACAAACTGCTATTGGCTTCTGAGGAAGATACTAGATTTCACTAACAGGAATGTCAAAGATCCTGTGCTTTTCTCAGACTCTGCTAAAACTAGCAAGCCATTGCATGAAGAAGAGAGCCGGCTACCATTACGCAGAACAGATGTAAATTTTTCTTCATATTCCTCAGTAGTGGGCAAAGATTTGATCTGTCATCATGACTCTAGGTTTGAGGTCTGGGGGACAAAAGGATATGGTATTCACCAACTCACTGGTAGGAATAGAAAACGGTATTCAACTATTGATATGGTTAATGATTCGAACAATACGGTGATAGAATTCAATGTGGAGGTTGATGAAGCAACAACACATAAGGGCTCAGGAAATTATTCTGGATTAGTTGATCGAAACAAATCCAGGAACAGCATTGATTTCTTAGGGCTGCTCAACCATGATGAGGTATGAAGAGTTTCCTTCTTTGAGTTTCTACTTAAACATCAGAGATGTCCTCCTAAATAATAAATTGATAATTTCTTAAATTCCAGATCTGTCTTACAATATTTGTTCATGTTTAGGCTTGTTAATGTAGATTCATATTCTAATATAGTTCTTCGCTAATGTCTCTAACTAGCGATGGCAGGAAAGCTGTGTTAACTAGTGAGGAACCACAAGTATATGGAACTGTGTTTATACTTCAGCATGAATAGGAACCACAAGTCCCTATTCATTAAATAAGCCAATTTAAGATTCTTGAGCAACTATGTTGATGCACCATGATGAATACTGTTTTGTCGTCTCCTCTCCTATGCCGCATTACTGAATGTATCAATGGGCAACTGACCTTTTAAAGTTCTCAGGTTGACATACCTATGCTGATGGCAGGTCAATGGATCATTCCGTTATTGGTTGCTTTGGCTTGTAAGTACACATACCATTCTTCAACATGAAACGATTCTAGTTCTTGGTCTCTGATTGATGACTTCCTTCTCAGGCCTTCTATCATTCTTAAGCTGGCGAATGCGACAGAAGCGACGAAGACGAAGGAAGGGGTCCGCATCGGGTCGGCTGATGAACATGGTGTAGTAGCTAGCCACGGTTTAGTAGCGTTGGTTGGAGGATCTCTGTTTTACTGGTTGCGCATACACCGAGACGCTATCCAAAAAGGAATGAATGCAGTAGGAGACTTCAGGTATAGCTTACGGGGTCAGACATTCTTGACAGGTTGAGTAGTTCATTTTTGTGAGGTTGTACATGAAACTGATGCTCTGCCTTTAACCCTGAAAAGAGAGAGAGAGAGAGAGAGAGAGAGAGAGATTGGTCGAGAAGATGCGGAAGTACGTGGTGTTGTATCATCATCAATTATTTATTTTTCTTATTACAAATATTTGCTGTAACTTATATCATAATTTATTTTTATTTTGTCTTTTGTTACATTTTTCCCATATAATTTTTGGTCTATAATGAATAGATGTTTTTCAGACTTCTTTTCTTCAAATTTCTGTTTTATCCCCATTGCCTTGAAATATTTCCTACAGTGGAGAATTATTAAATTAGTTTGAGTTGTTTTTTTTTTCTAGAAACATGTTTTTGCTTTCTTGATTTAGAAAATGATGACTATGGAAGCTTAATTATATATTATTATTTATAATTAGATTTTTTTTATTTTGATTCATAAATTTAAAAAATTATATTAAAATCATTATAGTTATAAAAGTGAAACATATCAAATTTATTGATTAAAATATAAAAACAATAAATAAAAAAATAATTTTAATATTTTAAATATATTTTTGTGATGATGGATAACGTCATTGTATGATGAGAGATGAGACAAATGAAGAGGAGAAAGAGGAGAGATGAGACAAATGAAGAGGAGAAAGAGGATGATATATTACATCTGCATCTACATCGACACCGACGACAATGATGCATAGAAGGATAACACCACTCAACATCTCCATTAGCATCAACACAAATGTACAACATCAACATCTATCTTATCCTCTTTCTCCTTGCCATCACTCTTCCTCGTCCACAATAATCACTCATCCCGTAACGATGTCATCGTTCGTTATCACCAAAAATATAACTAAGACGTTGAAATTATGTTTTTGCTCATCGCCGTCGTATTTCCATCGGTAAAATCGATAACATCAAGATTTTCACTTTAGGAATTTCAATGTAAATTTTTTTAACATAAAAATTGAAATACTAAAAGGTCTAATTAATTAGCCCTTGGGAGGAAAAGGTCATTTGAACATAACATGTTAACCATGGGCAAGCAGCAATATTAGATTCCAATGCAGAACCTCCATTATATTAAAATTTTACCATATATTATCAGCACAATGCAAGTTAAAAAGAATAACAATAAATCCTATTTCATAATTCGAACATAATATTTTGTGGGGTTTGAAAATGACACTTTTGACTTGGGATTTATTTTTCTTGCATGTAGACATCCTGGATATATAATTGTAAGAAACTTGGTGGGATTTGAGAGAGCTGTAATCTGCCATATTGGACAGAAACATATGCTATTAATTGGTTCATATCATCCCAAAGCATGCAGGAGAAAATATATAGAAGGTTGAATTTGAAAGCCTTCACCAAAACATTGTATAGTGCTAGTAAGCTACTGAAGCTTTTTCTAAGTAAAGAATTCAAAGTGATAGACAAATTAAACTACATAAAAACTGCATAGCAAATGATAGAAACATAAGATGATACAGATGCTCATCCAGATCAACATCATGACATCAAATTCCAAAGACAGCACTTTTAAGCTCATATATAGAGGAATTTCTACTGCTACCTACAAGATTGTTCACTTGCATAAGGCAACACAACACGCAATGAAATCAATTCATTACCCAACAAAAATCACTGTTCACTTGGTTCCATCTAATTAATATATATGCATTCAGATATATAGAAGAAGCCCAACTAAAACCATTCCATGTCAACATTTGTTGATTCGTCAAATATATATGCAATCAGATATATAGAAGAAGCCCAACTAAAACCATTCCATGTCAACATTTGTGGATTCTTCAAATATATATGCATTCAGATATATAGAAGAAGCCCAACTAAAACCATTCCATGTCAACATTTGTGGATTCTTCAAATATATATGCATTCAGATATATAGAAGAAGCCCAACTAAAACAATTCCATGTCAACATTTGTTGATTCGTCAAATATATATGCATTCAGATATATAGAAGAAACCCAATTAAAACGGAATACACAACTTTTTTCCCAGAAAATAGTAATCTTTTCTATTTCAACTCAAAGTTCAATAATCATCTGAGATTGAAAGTTCAATCCAACACCTAAGAAGAGAGATCAATTTGCATCAGTTTCTACTTGGAAAAAAACTCCTGAGCTCCAAGTCCGAAGCGACTCACTGAAGGTTGACCTGAAAAAAAGAAATAAAAGACAGGGAAAAGGAGTTCATTTGCAAAACAGGAGAAATGATAGCAAAGAGGGAAATGATCATTTGCAAAACAGGGATGGCCAAAATCGATCCGATTGAATCTAATGCAAAAGGGAAAGTGAGGAAATGATAATTTGCGAAACAGGGGAGATATCAAATGTATAATGATCTAATGGAATCACTATAGCCATCTCGGCGAAACAATATCCATAAACTAAAAGGTTAGAGATACAACATCCCTTTCTCCCTCTTTCCAACTCATTAGAATAAACTAATACTTATCCTCAGTCACCAACTTAACCAATTATGTTATATATAACAATATTTTATTGCAAAGTCCAGTGTTCCCATAAGATTTTGGAACCAAAAGGTCTAAGCAAACATTGTATAGTGCCAGTAAGCTACTGAAGCTTTTTCTAAGTAAAGAATTCAGCAAATAACATTGTATAGTGAGAGTAAGCTACTGGAGCTTTAAACTACATGAAAAATGTACAGCAAATAACAGCATACAAACGCTCATCCAGATCAAGAAAATAAAATTCCAAAGACAATACTTTGATTTCACAACACAATATTTCCAATGAAGTTCTCATAAAAAGAGATCTAAAGAACCCATTTCCAGCATCCAAAACAGATATCTAGAGATTGCAGTAGAAGCACAATATCATAAACGAAAAGCTCACTCTTCCCCGCACATTAAAATTAAGCGTCAGCCACGGCCTTCTTCCTGGGAACCGCTTGAGTACCTAAACACAACCAAGAACAAAGAAAGAAGAAAATAATTCAAGCAATCAACAGATTTATCGCGACAAAAGCTAGGGATTTCGAAAGGATCCAGATGACGACCTTCGCGGAAGTTGCTCTTGAAGCGGCGTGGTACGTGGCGGAGGTACCGCATCCTCCCGGTTCCCGTCGTCTTCCTCCGGATCGCCTTCACGCTCCAGTTATCTAATGCAAGAGCATCAAGAACTCATTGCAAGAGATCGAACTCCACAAAATTAAACCAAAAAGGTCGATCGAGGAGTGAGTGTACGGGGCACACATTTACGGATCCGGCTAGAAGGGTAGCCGCAGGCACCGCAGCGGCTCTTCTGGAGGTGGAAGCTACGGCGACCGCAGCGGACGCAGAGAGTGTGGGTCTTGTTCCTCCGCTTCCCGAAGCTCCCGGTTCCCTTCCCCTGCAATAAAAAAGAGGAACAATTACCCTACGGATCAGCAAGGGTTTGAGATGAATCGAAGACGACAAAGGGAAGGAGCACGAAAAGAGGCGGCGGGAAACGCTTACCATTGGAGTCGCCCTCCGCAAAACCGTAGCCGCGACCGAAGAGGAAGACGGTGGATAGGTTAGGCTTATAAATAGAGACGTTATATTTACATATTGGTCCCTTACATTTCTATCATCCTTAGAACACCAAAGCAGTGGGCTATTGGCCCAAATCTTAGCCCATTATATATATATATATATATATAAACGATGGTGAAGGCGCTGCCAGAGTTCACATGAGGAGAAGGATACACCCAAAACCCGTGAACACTAGCCGGGCACATCCTACCACCCCAAGGACAGACACCAACCCCCACCATAGTTTTAGTAGTATAATCCAATGGACCCAACACCACCATTTGGTGAATGATGAGGAGAAGAACTTGTTCTTGAATGCGAGTCATCAGCATGCAGTTAACAGTGACACAAATGAGTTGAGTTGAAAGAAGAGAAAGAAAGTTACGAAGTGTAATCCGTTGGACACATGCGCGTATTTGAGCTCCTCTTCTCTCATGCAACATATACCTCGTCTACTGGTGCGAATCCGAGCTTTCCGTAGCTGTTTGCTTCATTTCTTGGATGCCGAGGCTCTCCTGCGAAGGACAATCCAATAGAGCAGGCGGTAGAAGACGAAGAACCCCCACAGCACCTGCAAGTTCGCCCACCCTTCTCCTTCCTTCAATCCCCGCCGCTCTAACACGTCTCTTCCTGTCACCAGACACGCCCCTCCCATCTCCTGGCCCGCCCACGCGAAGCACCGGTTCGCATGGCAGCCGTACTCGTTCGCGAGCAGTGCGTCCAACCCGTACTTGAATGGGGAGAGGTAGTGCGCGAAGGCCCAGTACTCCGGCATGTTCTCCTTGGCTATGAAGTAGCCAGAGAAGAGGAAGAACCCCGCCAGGGAGACCGTCACCAGCGACGTCCCGGCGATGTAGTCCGGCGCGAGGGAGCTGATGAACAGGACGAAGGAGTTGGCGGTGAGGACCAGCGCCCACACGATGAGGACAAAGTTGGCCAACGCGGACCAGGAGGCGCACAGCCCGGTGAGAAAGTAGACGGAGACGGAGTAGAGGAGGGATATGGCGAGGAGGTAGGGTACGAAGACGAGAGTCCCGGCGATGAGGTGGGAAGAGAGGCGGTAGAGGCCGGAGGAGGTCTCGCGGAGCAGGATGGGGCGCTCCTCGACGAAGATTGGGAGCGTCTCGGTGGTGGTGGAGAGCAGGAAGGTCAGGGTGAAGGCGAAGAGGCCGAGTCGCTTCGCCATGCCCTCGTCGTCGAAGCTCACGTTCATGTAGATGGTGCCGAGGAGGAAGCCGACGATGAGGGCCTCGAGAGTGTTGGCGAGGAGGAGCTGCTTGGTGCGGTACACCAGCTTCCAGCAGCGACCGTAGAGCGTAACAATCTCTCGAACTCGAGAGCTGGAATAGTGGACGGAGAGTTCTTCTTCTCCTTCGATCTTTGATTCTTTTAGCTTAGCGGCGGAAGCTCGTTGTGCTTTAACGGTAGCGGTGGTTGGGTGGGGGAGTTGGTGGAGCACTTCCATGGCGAACTCGAGGGGGTTGATCTGGGAAGGTGCAGAGAAGCCTGAGGAGAGGAGGAAGCGGTCGAGGGAGGAGAGAGAGCCGTGGTGGATGACGGAACCGTTGGAGAGGAGGAGGAGGGAGTCGATGGAGGAGAGGAGGCGGGAGCTGGGCTGGTGGATCGAGAGGACCACGGTGGTGCAGCGGGACGCGGCGACACTGCGCAGGGACTGCAGAACGAGGTGCGCCGACAAGCTGTCGAGACCGGAGGTGGGCTCGTCGAGGAGGAGCACGGAGGGGTCGCGCAGGAGGCTAAGGCCGATGGAGACCCGCCGACGCTCGCCGCCAGAGAGGTTGCCGGAGAGGCGGGTGTGGGCGACGCGGGAGAGGCGGAGGTCGGCGAGTAGGGAGGCGATGATGGCGGAGGCGTGGCAACGGTGGAGGAGGCGGGCGGCGAAGGCGAAGGTCTCGAAGACGGTGAGGAGAGGGAGAGAGGCGTCGTGCTGGGGGACGTGGGCTGACAGGCGGCGGAAGGAGGCGGGGTGTAGGGGAGAGGAGTTGAGGCGGACGTAGCCGGCGGTGGGGGCGGTGCGGGCGGCGAGGACGTCGAGGAGAGTGGACTTGCCGGCACCGCTGGGGCCAACGATGGCAAGGATCTCACCGGGGCGGGCGGTGAGGGACACGTCGCAGAGGATGTAATGCGGCGGCGGGGAGGGCCGGCAAGGGTGCAGGAGCAGCTTCAAGGGGTGGACGGCGGCGGGCTTAGCATAGAATATGGAGTGTGCGGCTAGTTCATATGTCTTCGTCTTCATCTCTTGTGGTGGTGGTGGTGGCGATGGTGGCGGAGGTGATGAATGCTGTTCAGCCATAGCAATGGTGGTGGCGGCGGCGGAATAGGTGTGTGTGGGAGAGAGAGAGAGAGAGAGGGAATTGTTGCTGGTGGTGGTGAGAGAAGGAGAGCACAGAATGATGCTGATAGAAGGGAATATTGTATGGAGAACAAAACAGATCTGTTGTTTGGCTGTCAAGAGAAAATATATTAAAGCTTTAAGAACATTAATACTCTGTTAAACTTCTCATTATCATATTTTAAATATTTTACATTTTTTTCAATACGAACCGACATCAGCTTACTAAAATATATAACAATTATGTAAACATCAAACTGTTACAAATAAATCTCTGTATGAACTATTGAAAAAGGAAATAGCTAATGAGACGACAAATATGTAAACATCAAATAGCCATTAACCTCCAAAAAAAAGAGTTAATAGCTAATAAGCCGATAAATATTGAAGATTTTGAAGTCCAGTCTATATGATATGGATCTCATCAGAGGTGATTTTGGAGCCCTACATCTCTGGAAATAATAGATGGTGGGAGCAAGCAAAGATCAATGGACCTGATTAATTTGCAAGGCTCATGCCCTCCGCCTGCGATCCGCTGCAAACTGGGAGAGCGGGACGAGCTCCGACAGTGGGGTCGAGGTTGGAGTAGACACCGGTGTAGGCAACGGCGAAGTCCGGCAGACCGGGCAGGATGCATTGAGCCGGAGCCAGACATCGATACAGAGGAGGTGAAAGTGGTGGCGGCAATCGGGCATCATTCGGAGCATCTCCCCTTTCCGGTACTCGCAAAGGCAGATCGAGCAGACGGTATCCCCGCCCTTGGCTGCCGAGAACGGAAACTTAGGGTACGAGCTGATGGCAGTCTGGTCGAGTCCCGAGGCTTGACCGCCGCCCCCGCCCTCGCTGCCGTCCCCATCGTCATCCTCGGGGACGAAGATTATACGAGGGGGGGCCACGATTCCATCGGCGGGAACGGCGCTAGGGTCGAGGGCAGTGCTCTGGGGTTGGCCGCGGCAGCAGACGTAGGAGGCGAGGAGGAAGGCGGAGAGGAGGACGAGCAAGCCGAGGGCGACGGCGACGGCGAAGGGAAGGGCGAGAGAGGTGAAGATGGAGGAGGAGGGGGTGGTGGAAGGGGCGGCGCCGTCCGAGGAAGCGTAAGTGGACATTCCTGCGGAGGGAAGGGAGTGGGGCCAGAATGGTGGCCACATTGTGGCGAGGAGGTCGAAACGGCGGAGGGCGTCGGTCCCTTTAGAGGCGGGTGGAGTCGCTCAGGGTGTGCATTTAATGAGAAGAAGGGGGGTGGGGAAGGGAGGAGGAATGGATCAAATAGATGGCGGGCGCAAAAAGTGCATTTAATGAAGGGGAGGGGGGGTGGGGTGGAGGGTGAAGGGAGTGGATCAAACAGATGGGCGGGCGCAACTTTTTGATCACGCATGGAAAGGGACTCTTCGAACCCAGCGGCAAAATATCTAAATTCATTTATCCTAACGATATTAATTTTATCGATAAAAATATAAAAATATAAAAATAAAAAATAATAATTTTAATATTCGGTGATGGACTCGATGAGGACGGATGAAGACAACGTCCTTTTAAATCTCCCATATCGGTCTCCTCTATCCGCTACCACAGTCGTCATCATAGTTGATAGAGTTTGTGCTAATGCTCGTCAACTAATCGTCAAATCTCCTAATGTGACTGACGACTCTCGAGTATGTCACCATACTCGGCCTCATAGTCGATGATGAGGACCTCATTGTCGTGAAAGCCACCAACCACGACAGGGCCAACTCATCGAAATTGGCTACATTTGTGGGTACTAGGAGTCGACAACTAATGGGCACCGACGTGGACTCCACCAGTTGCGATGACAGCTATAGTGTCATATGGAGAGCGATTGATATCACGGATTTGGAGCACTTGAACTGGGGGCGGTGCTGCCATCCGTCATCACCAAGTCTGAACGTTACAAAGAAGATGGTGGTTGCCTTGTCGATGACCCATTAGGCGGATCCCAGTCTCAACCTCTCCTCTTTTACATTTGCGTTGGCATCGATGCAATTGTTGAGCGACAAAAGGATCGCTCAACATCTGCATTAGTGTCATCACAGATGCCGAGTGACACGAAACAGGTGACAATGAGGTTGATGGCATGCTCTCTCATGGAGGCCAGTGAGTTCGTTGGGCAGATTCCAACTTCGACCTGAATCTAGGGTGCTAGAGTTGCTATCGCTACCCCCACTACCATGTCAATTATAGCATCACCTATCATCGAGTGACTCTTTTGTTGTTCTACATCTGCGTCAATATCGATGCAAATGCTGAGTGGCATCGCTGTATAACTGTGTCGACGCTAATACAGATGTCAAGTTGTCATTTTGCTGCTTGGCAACTATGTCAACACTAACACAGATGCAAAGGGGGAGGGGTCAAGGTTGGGATTTGCCTAATAGATTAGTGGCGAAGGTGGCTACCATCTTTGCCGTAACATTCGGTGGCATACAGTGACAGTCGCACCCAACTCACATGCTCTAAATCCTCGACGTCGGTTGTTCTCCATCCGTCGCTACAGTCGTTGTCACAACTAGTGAAGCCCGTTAGTCGTTGACCCTCGGCACCCACGGATGCAACCAATTTTGATAAGCCGACCCACCCCCCTGTCGTGGTCAAGGGCTTTTATGATAATGAGGCCCTCACCATTGGCTATGAGGTCGAGCACGGTGGCATGCCCAGGGGAGTTGCTGGCTATGGCAAGAGTTTGGGCAATCAGTTGAAGGGCACTAGCACGAACTCCTCTAGTTGTGATGACAGCTACGACGGTGGATAGACGGGGTTGGCATCGAGGATTTGGAGCACGTGAGCTGGGGGTAGTGTCACCATTCGCCACCACGGAGTCTATCATCGAACACTAAAATTATCTTTGTATCTTTGATTTTTCATGTTTCCATCGATAAAAATGAGTAAATAATCAATATATTTTAATTTCTTAAATAATCAATATATTTTAATTCCCTAATTATAGGATGTCAATATAATTTTAAAAATTATAGGTATCCGTTAAAAATATCTAATCACATAATTATCCCGTTGATAATTTTCTTTTATCTTAATTCCAACTTCGGCCAACCCAATCACCCGGTTGGACGCGCAAAGTGACCCCACTTTGGAGCCCGCAGTCGTGTCCACTGGCAACGCAGGGTCGGTGCCGAAGAGAATTCGTCGACGCATCGCCGAAGCGGACCCCTCTCTCTCCTGCCTAAAGCCCTAGAGACGAACATCTATATCGGCCCTTGGAAGAGGAAGGAGAAGTCGGGTAGAGTACTCATCGTCATCCTCGCCAACATCGTCTGAGTCTCAAGATTCCGCGGTGCGGTCGTGAGATCGCAAGGTGAGATGTCAGGTGATTGCTGATTGTGTGATGATAATGGGTTCGTCGAAGACGTTCCTTGTCTCCTGTGGTATTGATGCTTGTCAGTGTAACCTTGATTGACATCGGGGAGGAGGGGTTTAGGGAACCTTGGGATTTCATCGATTCATGGCTTACGACGAGCATTCGCATGACGTCTGCTCTGTCTTTTGAGATCGGCTGACATGTATGTTGCAATTGCTAAAGCAGATCCGTATTAGCTCTGTTTCTGGCACAATGCAGTTGTTCTCTTCCCTTTCAGTTGCTTTTTGTTCCCCTTCTATTGTCTATGACCACGGCGCGATACTTATCCGATGCGCCTCCTCAGATTCCGGCATGGAATCTTGTTCGATCTGCTCCCGCATTCTTCTGGCAGTCGGAAGATGCCGCGTTACCATCTGAGGAAGGTGAGAAAAACTATCGATCTTGCAAATGCGTTATACGTTCTCTCACCTTCAAAGTTCATTGGAATTTTTGGCTTTGATTCCTTCTCCAAGTCGATGCAATTGCGTAAATTCCCTCTTGCTGGCAGAGAGAGCTAGTGTGAGTAGATCAAGGGAGCATGATTCTGAAGGAGTTTCCTTATTTTTGGATTGCCTATCAGCAAGAGAACTGTTGCCATCTTCTACTGTCTCCGTTTCTTCTGTTGTTTGAGACTGACTTGATTATTCAAACTTTTCGGTTGATCGAAGCATAGAGAATTAACCTGGTCGCTCAAGATTGTCTCTCGATGGAGGCAGCAAAGTCAGTACTTTTGACTCTAAAATGTCAATTTGGCCCTCTTAATGTCATCACAAATCAAGCTATACCATGGGGCAAGATTAGATTTACTAATAAGCTAGTCCAAGGGCATCTAGCTGTGGAAGAAAAGAAAGAGAAAACATGTTGCTGGACTAGTACCCAAGGTTGTTCAAAACTATTTTGTGAGAGTAGTATAATTTCTATCTGTTCTGCGGGCTTCTTGATAAGCCTGAAGTTATTTAATTCGTTGTGGTGCCAATATTAAACAAGTTGTAGAGCTGCTTCATGTTCATGTTATCTAATTCTTGGGCTGATATTATCTTCTGAAGTTGCATGAAGATTATGATAGAGCTGGCCAGGATACCGATGAATGGAAAGCCAGGGAGATTGTGAAGGACATAGCAAGCCAGGGAGTTATTATTTCAATAGTTCACTGTCTCTTTTTTGCATGATCTTTCAATGATTCTCCTAGCAATTTTTTCTAGTGCTCTTTTGATGTGATTTGAATTGTTATCAATATGTAGCTTTAGGGTTACCCAATTCCATTTCTTTTTCTCAGGTTAGAAGAACATGAGATGCTTATAATTGGCTTGGAGGAAGGCCTATGAAATATTAATATCATACTTGTCTGTGTCACAATATTCTGACTTTTTTTGCTAAATTAAACTGAAGTATTATTTTAGTTGTCGGGCACCTGATGACCTGAGTTTCTCCCTTGTTGGACTTTGAAGCTTTTGCAAAACGTTAAATAATTAATAGTGTTTGATTTACAAGGTCATGGATTTTATTTATCTTCCTATGTTTTGTATAATTATTTGATTGGGGAACAATGGAGTATTCTCCTTTGATTAGGAAGTCAAGAGGTTGCAGACGTTAAGCAATGTCTTCATCTTATTGCCATCTCCTGAAGATGACGAATTTCAATATTTTGTTATTATTGTTCTTTTGCTGTTTGATTTTGTCAGAACTTGGAAGGACAAGATTGGCTTGCATTGATTGCCAGCCGATTTTGTGTTTGTTATGGCACTGACTGGTTTATGCTTTATTAGTATGACTTCGGTGGTGTTTCTAATCTCATCATCTCATGTGGGTGAATTGAGTAAAAAGACCTTGCGGCATGTTTATTGTTTTGGAAGTTTTGAATTCCAGTTTCTTCCTGTGGCTACCTCTGGATGCAGCCGGGTGACTGAGACACTGAGTGCAGCCATCACCGCCTGGAAATGAAGTCTGGGCATCAGACCTCATCCAACCCAAGTAATGTCTTTACAAGCACTATATGCCTCATCTTGCCTCGTGTGAGAAGGGTGTGTAGTCTTCTTAAAAGCTTGAGACGGGCAATTGTGCAGTTTGATTGAAGCAAGCTTGTTTCTGATATTTCTAGCATGTTAACTTTGAGAAGGTAATAGAAATGCATTTTGACGTGCAATTTGCTACATTGTAACAACATTTTGAGAAGGTAACTAGCAAAATGTTATGTAGCGCAGCATATTGGATGAGTTTATAAAGATGGAAAATAGAGAGAGAGAGAGAGAGAGAGAGAGGAGGTA